CAGGGGCCCCGCATACACACAGGGACCCCGAGGTCAGCCGAGGCCTGCCCACAGACAAAGGGGCAGTCGCGGGTCCTGGGCTCGGCGGCAGAACCCCACACGTGCATCTCACAGGCAGGAAGCTCAGCGGAGGCTGGGCACCTGTCCCTACCGAGGACAGAACAGTGGGAGAGTGGGCCCCGGGCGGAGGGAAGGCCAGCCCCGGGGCAGGTGGCTGCCTCGCTTGGCAGAGAGCCACCGCGTTACACCTCGGTCTCCAGCAGGCTTTCTGCAGGTGTATTAAATTTCATAACTAAAAAGTTTTAGCAAATGGGAAACGGAAGTAGGCATGTAATGGTGCCACCCATGAGCCGCTGGCAGTGCGAGGCCTGGCCCTGCTCCTGTCGTCTGGGCTGGACGACGCTCGGCTGGGCACGTCCCCTTCATCCAGGGGGCGCCTGTGCTCCCACCGGCTTTGTGTTCTCTCCCTACACCCAGAGGTGGCGGAATTGGATGCAGAAGGACTGAGAAGCCAGGAGTGGGGGGGGGGGGGGGGTGCGGGTGGCCGCAGGCTGCTTGGACCGGACCAGACTGCTGCTGAAGGTCGTGCTTGTTAACCAAGCGCGTACTATCGCCCGGCCCTGCCCTGAGTGCTTTTCCAATGAGATCCAGTAACATACCATAACGTTCACCCCCGAACAGTGTGCAGCTCAGCGGGTTTCAGCACCTTCACAGCGCTGTGCAACATCACCACTGTCAGTTCCAGAACATTCCACCACGGCAGCAGGGAGCCCTGTTCCCATCAGCAGCCTCCCTGACCCCCTCCGCCCAACCAGCCTCAGTCTGTGATTGAGGAAGAGGCGGGGCCGCTCAGCAGAGGGAGGGACCAGGGGAGAGGCCCCACCAAGCCCCACCCCTTGGTGGTGCCCATGAGAGCTGCAGGGCCGGGTCTCACACACGTCAGGACACAGGCGGAGCCTGGCCGGGTTCTGCCGTGGGGAGGGCATGACAGAGAGGGGTCCCCAGGGAACGGCGCCCAGAGCACACTGAGGCCAGCCGGACTTGGGGGGTCCTGGGGATGGGGATGGGGGTGCCTGGAAGCCACCACCAGTCTGGGAATTGAATCGTTCACATTCTTTGTGGCTGGGCTGAGGGATAAAGACATTTTTGTGCGCAAGAGCAAAATTGCTGGCCTTGGAGTCTAACATTTTTTATCAACTCCCGGCACTCAGCGAGATGAAACGACCTGGCAGGGCAGACAGTCTGGGTTGGGCCACGCGGGTGTGGACGGTCCGGGGAAACCCTGAGCCCCTGCAGACCCCACCCTGGGTTGTGCTCGGAGGTCGAAGGTCATCCCGCGTCCAGGCCCGCGACCGGCTTCCCTGCCACTTGCTCCAAAGGCAGCCACGGGCCTGCTGGGACCAGGGACTGCGGCTTCACTCCCTGCAGCCCGGAGCCAAGGTCCCTCCCCACCCGGGCGCTCGTGGGTCCGGAGCCACCGAGGGGATCGACGTCTCGGACCACAGACCCCTGGCTCGGTTGGACGCTACGGTTCTTAAACTCTGGGCAGAAGAGGGACTTGCTGCAGGACCCCAGGCGGGTCAGTGGGCCGGGGTGCGGGTTGGGCGTGCAGTCGGCCCTTCGTGCCTGCTGGCCGCGTCTGGTTTCCCCTCCTTGGACCGAGCGGACAGCAGCCTCGAGCCCTGCCGACACGTGAGGAAAGCGGAGGCCGGGCACCTCGAGCCTTTGCTGGACAAGGGGCTTCTGCCTCCAGGACGCCCCCGTCCCGGGGCTCGCATCTGAGTGCAGAAACCGTAGGGGGCGCCAGAGACGTGGAGGAAAGAGGGTTTCCTCCTTGTTCCTGAGCACGGTCCAGCCTTGTGGAGGCAGGGGTTCTGGGCAAGCGTGGAGCCCCTCCCGCTGGTAGCTCCGAGCCGCGTGCCCACGCGAGCAGCTCTGGGGCTCAGCCCCGACGCCCCGTTCAAGTCCCAGCCCCAGTTCCTTTCTCCTCTCTGCTTTTGCCTGGTACGGTTTGCACTGGGTTAAACGCCCCCTACAGGGCAGGACGCCGAAGGCCCACGGAGCAGCCGCAGAGCCGGCACGGACACGGGGGAGGGCACGTCCTCCCCCCGAGGCTCCAGCCCAGGGGCCGCAGAGGCTCCTGTGATCAGACAGCGTCTCCACCTTGACCGACATTTCCAGGAGCAACAAAGGTGGAAAGAATAAAACAAGTGAAGGTGTTTCCATGCTGTGATAGGGGGGCTGACCTGGCTGCGGGCAGAGGGCAAAGCCCACGGTCAGAACCACGGCCCTGCTGCCAGAGGTCGTTCCCAAGCAACACAGCTGCGGGCATTTCAATGTCACGTGTCTTTGCCCACTGAACCGAAAACACCAAGAACATAAAACCAAGGATCCACTGGAAAGTCACCCAGAGAAGGAAAAATCCCTCCTGGAACCCGTCAGACTAGGCTGAGGTTTCCCTGGCTGGAAGGGACGCTTGTCCATCCAATACTGTGCGGCTTGGCTCGTGTCATCTTTTGACGCATTCGGGGTGGGCATGCAGGGAAGGGCGGCCAGATGGGCAGGCGCTGGCCCCGACCAGGCCGGGCTGGGCGCCTCACACGCAGAACCCTAAGTGCCTGTAGGGTCCACGCAGGTGTCCCCAGTAAATGTTGACAAGATCCGTGCCAGTGAGCTCGCATCTCCCAACAGACGCCGCGAGGGAGAAACGGGACTGGCGGGACCTTATCGGATGCAGCAAAATGAACAGATGGTGATGTGATGAGGCTGGGAAGAGGCAGGTGTGGCGTCGAGCGCCCACACAGGGAGCTCTTGGTGGATTTCACCTGGATGGGCCTGAAGCCAGGCCCAGGCTTTGCCGCACCGGCAGGCAGGCTGGAAGGGGGAAGCCGGGATCTGGTCTCCCCCCACTCTGGTCCCTGATGGCTTGTGATCTGTGCGCTAATATCCTAACATGATTCTCAGCATACGTAAACATCTCAGTGACTCTTAAGTTCTTAGATTTTATGGAAAGTCCCTACATTGATACACATAACTTCTGTAAAGTAACGAGTTTGCCTCTTTGCCTTTGTGAGGAGGACCGCCTGTGTTGAGGGGGAGTGTGCAGGAGCTCGTCCCGTTACCCGGCTCCAGCTGCCGCCCGGGGGGCCCCTTCCTGCCTGCCCCTGCCTGACACCCAGGCCGCAGGGATGCCTGCTGGGCCTCTAGCAGAGCTGAGGTCTCGAGTGGGCCGTAGAGGGGCCTCCGGAGGAAAGAGATCATCCTCCTTATGCAAAACAAGACCCGTCTGGGTCTAACGAGCCTCAGAAGTAAGAGCCGTCTTCCCTGTTCTCCGCACGATCCCGGCAGGGAGCACAGTCAGTCGCGTGAATTCTCCTTTCATACACCATTGTTTTACGTGACATTCAAACTAGGTTTCTTTGGTGAAAGATGGTCTCCCCAAGTCGCACAGCTGAGTGGGACTCGTCCTGCAAGAGCTGGTTTTAAGCACAGGGACACTGGTCCTGTGGTCACACTAGGCACACCCCCAGGCCCCAAATGCCTGCCACTGTGACGGCGAAGCCCCGAAAGGGAGAGCTTAGCCGCAGAGGCTACCAAGCAAAGCCGTGAGGAACTGGGACCCAGACTAGTGAGTCTGGTGACGGGGCGGACAGGTGGAGGGACAGCAAGCCCATCGGGTCAAAATCGGGCTAAAAGGGAGACAAAGGATGCTTCAAAAACTAACTTCACGCTGCTTCTCGGTGTGGCCACGGGCTGCATCTCAGCCAATGGAATTACTCCTCCTAAATTCTGCTAGTTTTGTTATTTTTTACGATAGGCCCAAAGCACGTCAAACAATTAGGGAAGATTGGCCACTTAAGAGTTTGAGCTAAAATTCCGAATCGACGAGGAGTGACCTCGCGGTGCTCGTGGCTTTTGGAGCTGAAGTTCCGGGACGACAGGAGGTGGGGCCACGTCCTGGCCACGGAGGCCACAGAGGCCAGGGCTGCGCTGGGCCCATCGGATCAGGCCAGCCTGGAGACACTGGGCTTGCGAGCCCACGTTTAACAAAACACAGTCACATCTCACTTTACAAATACTGCTTTTCTTTTTACAAATTAAGGCCTGGGGCAGCCCGTGCGAAACAAGTCTGCTCGCACATTCTCCCAGGAGTGTGTGCTCACTGCGTGTCTCTGTGTCACATCTTCATAATTCTCATGATATCTCAGACTCTTTCATTATTATTATATTTGCATGGTGACTCGTGACCAGTGGTCTTTGATGTTACTCTTGTCACCGTTTTGGGTTTTTTTGGGTTTTTTTGCGGTACGTGGGCCTCTCACTGCTGTGGCCTCTCCCGTTGCGGAGCACAGGCTCCGGACGCACAGGCTCAGCGGCCATGGCTCACGGGCCCAGCCGCTCCGCGGCATGTGGGATCTTCCCGGACCGGGGCACGAACCCGCGCCCCCTGCATCGGCAGGCGGACTCTCAACCACTGCGCCACCAGGGAAGCCCCTACTGTTTTGGTATTTTTTAGGAATGAAGTGTTTTTACTTAAGCTTGTGGGTTGTTTCTTTAGCCATATGCTACTGGCAACAGACTGCAGGATGGTGTAAACATCGCTTTCATGTGCCGGGAAGCCAAGAATTCTGTGACTCCCCTCGTTGCGGTACTGGCGGGGGGCGGGGGGCGCTGCAGGGACCAAAACAATCTACATGCTCTGACCAGTGACCAGGTCCTTCCTGCCTCGTCTGTGACAAATAGCCTTCCCTAGGCCAAGGGGTCAGACGCATCCACGCGTGTCCTCCTCTCTAAGGAAACGGTGCACATGCTCAGAAAATGTAGTGAGAAGTGTTTCTGGATGTGAGGGCTGGGAGTATTCTGTCTGTTGGACAGAATTGCGTTCCCAGCCGGCAGTGGCAGAGGAGGCCATGCCTTGTTTAGACTCAACCACTTGCCTCCCTCCCTCTCTCCTCCCTCCCTTCTCCCTTCCCCTCACCTCTCCTCCCTCCTGTCCCTCCTCCGCCATCTCTTTTCCCCAAACATCCACGACTGTAACTCTGTAACTCTGAGACAGACTCTGGTCTGTCTCTCGACCAGGATTTGATTGGCTCCAAGGCCACGCTCGCCTGCTTCCTCAGGTGTGTCTGGCAGTGGGCAGGTGCATGTGGGGCCCTGGTCGGTAGCCATTGGTCTGTTCTGGGCACGGCTTCACCCAGGCCGTGGCTGCTGGGCCAGAGCCCCCCCCCCCCCACTCCAGGGGTCTCTCAGCAGAGAGGCTGCATCTTAGGGGCACCTGCTCTGCGGGCGGGGGCCCACACAGTGTGTCCCACAGAACAGACCAGGCTCCCTGGATTCTCCACGAAGGCTGACAGTCGGGGGCCTGGACACCGTACACAGGACACACGCAGCTGCGGGACGCGATTGGAACAGAGCACACGCAGACCTCAGACCACTCGCAGGCCTTGGAAACAGCACTTATATTTGAGCTGGGACAAGTTTTCACTCGAGTGCGTGGGGACCAGGAGTGCAGCGCTGAGGGTGGTGACCCTGCCCTCGCCGGGGACACACACATAAATACAAACACAGCGCGTTTCCTCGAAAGTGGTCCTCACACGGGGGCGCCTGCCGCAGTCCCCTTGATCATAATAGTGCTAACGAATTAGGAGGAAAATGAAACTGTTTTGTAAGTGACGCCACCAGAGCAAGGCGGCTCCGGCGGGCATTTTAGCACGGCTTCGTGTGTGGCTTCACACAGGGTGAGGTGGCCTTAGCCACCAGGGCTCCCCGCCCGCCAGGGCAGGTCCGGCCTCTCCTTGCCCGGATGTGCCCAGGGAGGGGAGGGGGGCTCGGGCATCTCCAGGAGGCTGGCCACAGAAGCAGGGTTCGTAGAAGGTGCTCTGTTTTCTAACAAGCCAAAAACTAGTTTTCAGTCTCCACCCTCTGCATCACGGTGCGTAGGGGGGAGGTTTCTCCCCGGGGAGGAAGTGGGTGAGGGCGAAGATGGGGGGGGCATTCGGGGGGGGCCGGCAGCTGGAGCCGGGCTGGGACGGAGGCTGCACTTCCTCGGACAGAGAGAGGTCGGAGCCAGGTGAGGCCGGGAAGCCACCAGGGGACTGCAACCAAACAGAAAAAGCCTCCTCAGCCGACGGGAGCCCGGGGACACGCCCAGCGCCACTGGCGCCCCTCAGAGCCCACCCTGGCCCGAACCCCCAGACCCAGGCCCTCCTGGTGGGAACCGCTCCCTGAACAGCGTGCATTCCCAGGGGGCCGCAGGGAGGCCCCGATTCAGCCCCACTGGGCCCCCTTCTCGCCTGTGGGCACATTGACATCCAGGTCTTGACATTCAGGAGGGTGGCTGGTGACATTCAGGAGGGTGGCTGGTGACATTCAGGAGGGTGGCTGGTGACCACCTGACACTGGGATGCACGGACGTGCAAACACTGTCTAAGGAAGAGGCTGCCCAGCTCATCTGGGGCCCTGGGTTTACTCAACACTTCATATTTTACAGAAAAAGACAAGAACATCAACATTTTCCACATAGTGTGATGGTGAATTTTATGCATCAACTTGGCTAGACTACGGTGCCCAGATGTTTGCTCAAACTGTCTGGATGTCATTTTGAGGGTGTTTGGTAGCTGTGATGAACATGTAGACCAGCAGATCACCCTCTCTGGTGTGGGTGGGCCTCGTCCAATCAGTTGAAGAGGAAAAGACGGAGGTTCCCGAGGGAGAGGGAATTCTGCCTCCAGACTGACCAGACTCAAACTGCAAAATCTGTCTTCCTGGGACCTCTAGCCTGTGGACTGCACTGCAGATTCTGGGCTCTCTCCCTCTATATATCTATATCTGTATCATCTCTTCCTATAAATAGATCTCTACCTGTGTCTCCTACGTGCACACATACTATTGGTTCTATTTCTCTGGAGAACCCACGTAGATGCAAAAGGTGATTCTGCAAGGAGAATGTTGGGGCCACAGGCTTTAATAAAATTGCCAGTTTTCCTCCACCCGCCAACAACCTCTTAAATTTCTTTTTTTTTTTTTAACTTCTAGAGGTTAAAAACGCCTGCTTAAAACCAACATTAAATAAAGCAAGCAACCCCTTCTGTGATGGGACACAGGCGAGTGTGTGCAGGCTCTCGTCTTCGGGGGGGCCAGGTGGTTCCTTGCTCTCTGCTTAGCAGGTGCCCAGGGCCCAGGGATGCTAGCCTGCCTGCCCCTCCCCCCTGGAGGAACCCCAGACCTTGGGCTTTGAGAGAGAATTTCCTCACAGGCCAGGGCTCTAGGGATCCAAGGGCCCTGGGCCCCTGCCCACCTCCATTGCTTTCTTTCTCTCAAACTCACACTTCTTTCTGACCTCAGGGGACAAATGAAACCTCTAGAGAACATCCCTCAGATCTGCGGGTCCCCAGCTCCCACCAGGCATGTGTGTGGTCAGTTCTTTACCAGAAAAGAGCAGCTGAGAGAACCAGGGAGTAAACCACACTGACCATGGAATAAACCAGTGGGAACCACAGAGGAGCCAGCTGGAAATACATGGCAAACCAGCAAGGATTACAGAGTAAACCACCAGGAACCACAGAGCAAACCACCAGGAACCACAGAGCAAACCACCAGGAACCACAGAGCAAACCACCAGGAACCACAGGGTAAGCCACCAGGAACCACGGAGTAAACCACCAGGAACCACAGGGTAAACCACCACAGACCACAGAGCAAACCACCACAGACCACAGAGCAAACCACCAGGAATCACGGAGTAAACCACCAGGAACCACAGAGAAAACCACCAGGAACCACAGAGCAAACCACCAGGAACCACAGAGTAAACCACCACATACCACAGAGCAAACCACCATAGATCACAGAGAAAACCACCAGGAACCACAGAGAAAACCACCAGGAACCATGGAGTAAACCACCAGGAACCACAGAGCAAACCACCAGGAACCACGGAGTAAACCACCAGGAACCACAGAGCAAACCACCAGGAACCACAGAGTAAACCACCACGGACCACAGAGAAAACCACCACAGACCACAGAGAAAACCACCAGGAACCACAGAGAAAACCACCAGGAACCACAGAGCAAACCACCAGGAACCACGGAGGAAACTAGGCTCTGTCCACACAGGCAATCCCATCGGGGGGCAGACAAAAAGCCTCTTAGTTACAGGATGCGAGGTCCTTAGTTACAGGATGTGAGTTAATCCTTGGCGTGTCCTTGTTCCTGCACTTCCTGACCAGGTGGCCCCGGGAATAAGGAATGTGGGTTTTCTTCGAAGGCGAGTGTTCTTTTTTTTTTTTTTTTTTTTTGCGGTACGCGGGCCTCTCACTGTCATGGCCTCTCCCGTTGCGGAGCACAGGCTCCGGACGCGCAGGCTCAGCAGCCATGGCTCACGGGCCCAGCCGCTCCACGGCATGTGGGATCTTCCTGGACCGGGGCACGAACCCATGTCCCCTGTGTCGGCAGGCGGGCTCTCAACCACTGCGCCACCAGGGAAGCCCAAAGGCGATTTTTCGTTTGACCAGCTGCTCCAAACAGCCCCAAGAGCTGCTCACTCCCTCTATTATGCAGGAGTGTTTTCCGCTGCTAATGACTGGACAGGACACTTGCAATATCCCTTTCCTCCTCCGATGGGAACAGAGTCAGAAACATCAATCTGTCGTTTCCCTCCTGACGAGACACACAGCATCATTGATTTGCCATCTCCTCCAAATCTGATTATTGACGCGTATGTAATTACGCTCCTACATGTGCCGGTGATAAAAGCTGATTAGGCCCGTGTAGAGGGAGCCCAGGCCTCCCCTGGGAGGGAGAATTGGGAGCATCTGCTGTTTGTGACGAGCCAGAGGCCCGATGGTGGATGAGGCTGGAGTACGACACCGGAAGAGAGCCCTGTGTTCTCCAGCACCAGCGGTAAGGAGGGGAGACCATGCCCGCACCCTGCAGCCCTGTCTCCTGGGGGAACAGAATCAGGACACCTGCCAGTGCCTCAGGTCAGGACCCAGAGCAGCAGGCCCCGGATGAGGTGCTGTCCTCCCCGGGTCCTCCCTGCGGCCAAGCTTGCGGGAGGCTGGTGCTAAACCAGCCAAACGCCGGGGCTCGGCCAGGAGGAGGGGCCCTGCGGGGATCGCCTCTGCCCCCAGCCACGCCCCAGAGCTGCCTGGAGTCCCCGTGTGCGGGCGTGACTGTGGGGCCTCGCGGTGGACGCTGGGAGGACGGGAGACAGCGGCCCGCGGAGCACGCCCATTCCTCAGCGTCCGTGCATTTCCAAGCTGGCGTTTGAGACCACAGGTGGCCAACCAGCCCTCCCTCCAGCTGTGGTCTCACGTTCTGGGTTCAGCAAACTAAGCAGATGAGAGGCAGAGCACAGCCCAGGACACAGGCCACGCCCAGATGACGTGGTCCTTCCCGTGATGGGGACCAGGGAGGATGGCCCGGAGGTGGGATGCAGGTGACGCTCCCAGGGAAGACGAGGGCCGCCAAGGACGGCCACCTGGGTGTCGGGGAAGCTGACGTACCCGCCGTGAGAAGTGATGCCACAGGGGGTTACTGGCAGCCAGCTCACCTCCTGACGCTTGGGTAATTCCTTTCCGTGTCTTAGAAATGGGAAGACTCTCGAGCCAGGCCCTTCCCTGACTCAGGACTCAGCCTGCGGGTCCCCGTGCAGCCAGGGCGCCTGCTCGGGACTGGTGGGGTGGCTAAGGGGTTGCCCCTCATCGGCAGGAGGAGGCCTCCCGTGGCACAGCCCGTGGGCCGCCACTCCTCAGAGACAGACGTGGCGCTGCCCTCAGGCCAGGCCACCGCGGCGCAGCCTCCTCTGGGAATTCCAAGGCCCCCGGAGCCCTGGGCGCACAGCCGCCAGCTTCACATTCACGGCAAGCGGAAGGAGCCAGGCGCGGAGAGGACGGACTTGCGCCTCCACGGGGAGGTAGAGCGGCCCCTGATTCCCCGCCCAGCGGGCCTGCCCCAGGCAGGACGAGGCTGCAGGCTTTCTCAGCTCGCCACACCTGCTGCGCCCCGGGGCCCAGAGACCCCACACCCGCTTCCAGCCCCACGAGCTGTCGGGCCTGGGGAGGCCACCGTGGACCTCGCTGGCCGGGCTTGTGCCGCAGCCCCGGGCGGCCAGCCGGGCCGAGTCTGCGGGTTCCTCTGAGTCATAAGGGGCTGCGGAGACGGGCAGCACGCTCCCCTCAGCCCCTCCTCAAGTCTGGCCGCCGCCTCTGTCACTGAGCTGGTGGATACATACACCTGTCCTAAGCAGCCGCTGGCCCTGGAAAGTTCTCATGCCCCGTCAACATCACCCCTCGAGCGCTGGGACCCCAAGCAGCAGATGAAGATGTGTGACCTCACAGCAAACGGCCGGGGTCTCAGCACCCCACCTGCCCACGCACACAGACGCAGCCCCTCCGGTACCTTGACCCCGCGAACTTCCCAGAACCGCTCCAGGGCTGCCGTCATTGACACAGACCAGAGAACGTGCCAAGGCCACCGCCCCGCCCCCGCCAAAACAGAGGCCGACCGGCTCTCTGGGCCAGAGGTGCTCACCTCTGCCCCCTGAGGACACAGAGCAACATCTGGGGACGTCCTGGTCACCACAGTGGCAGCTGGTCGGGCGGGACGCTGCTCTATGAACAGGCTTCACCCCCGTGTGCCCCCTTCCACAGCAGCCCCAAGGCCACCAGAGTGGTACTAGGGTGAGGCCTGTGCACCTGCCGCTTTCGTGAGCGCCGGCAAGCCCTCGGCTCTACTCAGCGACGCTGCCCTGTCGCAGGGGCCCGGCAGCTGGCACAGGGCCAGGAGACTGCAGGCAACTCGTGTGGGACCTGGTCAGGGGCCAGAAAACCTCAAGGCCCCGGAAGACGTGGCGGGCTGGGTCACCAGGGCCACACGGAGCAAGGATGCCCCAGATGGCCCCGGGGATGCCACACGTCCTGCGCGGGGCCTGGGGTCACCCGCCACATCCCTCAGTCGTCCCACCCCCTCTGCTGGTCCACACCAGCTGCATCACCCCATTGTCTAAGTCGGGAGGGGGAGCCACAGACCCCCCCTTTTCCTTCAACCCAAGCCCCCACCCCCATGTCCCACCCGAGCCGCACTCCCTGGATGACAGCTGCCTGGGACGTGAGCACCGTCCGGCCCGGGGACGCTTGGCCTACCTGGAGGGGCAGCGGGTACGACGAGCAGGTGGGGACAGCCGGGGGCACCGGGCCGAAGCCCGTGGAGGCCAGGATCTGCTGGGCGGGGTTGTAGAGGGCCTGAGGCGCTGTGGACGGGCCGTAGGCCAGCTGGGACAGCGGGACCTGCCGCAAAGGATGGAGACGTGTCAGCCGAGCCCTGCTCTGGGGAGCCCCGTCCGGCAGCCGCTCAGGAAGGCGGAGTCCCCAAGGGAGAGATTCTGAGTCCTCTCGCCAGCCTCTCTCCGACCAGAACTAAAGCCCCAAAGCTGGGGCTTCTTGCTTTTCCTTCTCCTGTTTGTCCCGGGATCCGCCGAGAGGCCCAGCTAGGCCCAGGCTCTCTTGGGTTTTTTTTGGAAAAGTGAGGAAACCCCACCCGTCTGCTCCAGGAGCGTGTGTCATGGGCACCCCCGAGGGGCGCTGATTCCAAAGATGCCCCCGGCTCTAGTCAGCAGGGCCCTCTCCCCACAGGGGCTCTGGGTGGCACAGGCCGGGGTAGAGCTCTGGCCGCAGGGATTTCTGGAGCAGCACAGCCAAGACCAGAGCTTCCCAAACCCCTCCAACTCCGGCTTCCTTAGCTCGTGGGAGGCTCTGATTCCCCAAAGGAAAACAGAACGTGGGCCCTGATTCTTGACCTCTCACCCGCCCCCAGAGAGGACGGGCCGTAGGACGGACCCCTCTCCAGAGGCAGGCCAGCCGCTCCCGATGGGGGGCTTGGGGGTTCCCAGACCAGAGGTGCATCCTTCCCTAAGAGCCCAGAACCTGGATCCCGCCTGACACCCACGGGGCAGGCCCTGCAGAGCCGGGAGGGGCTGCGACAGCACGGGCAGCAGCACAGACAGAGCATCTGAAAACTCATCAAAAGCCCCGGAGGTGCCAGAGCAGGGTCCTGAGGAGGGGGGGGGCAGCGAGCCCCCCAGAGCTGCCTCGCCGCCCCTGCCCTCGGGACGCAGGCAGCCCAGGAAGGAGGAGGCCCGTCACGCTTCCTTCATGCCGCAGGCTCAGTGCTCCGTCCTCTCCTACCAGGAGCTCTGGTCTGCGCGGCGAGTCAGTTAAACTCCGAGGAGTGAACAGGCAGCTTGAAAGCAGGGAGAGAGGACGGAAAACTCAAGATGGGGCCCGAGCCCAGCCACCTCGATGCCTTGATGACTTATTCACGAGCAAGCATAGCTGAGGGCCGACTCTGTGTGCCCCGACGTGGCCCGGTACCACCAGAGCTGGGCCCCAGAGCTGCGGAGAGCGTTTCGGGCCTGAGGCCTGGCTAAGGGGATCCGGGCCGAGGGGGCTGGTGAGGGTCGTGGGTCGAGGGTCCAGAGGGCCTCATGGGCTGGAGAGGAGCTGCCTGGCCTGGCTCAGCATTTCGGGGCCTGGGGAGGATGGGGTGGAGGTGTAGGGGTCTCCCAGAGGCGGCCTCACTCTGGGAACTACGGCCACTCTGCGGGGGACGCTAGGCGCCTGCACTGCCTGGTCTTGCCCTGACCCCTCGTGCACCCTCTCACCTCCGAGCCTCCCATGACGGCAAGGAGACCCCAGCTGGGCCAGGAGGACTGTCCACCTGCAGCTCTCATACCCGAGGCCAGCGCAGACCCTTCCTCAGCCAGGCTGGGCTGTAAGCGTGGCCACGTTGCCGGGGCAACCCCACCTCGGGAGACCCTCTGCAGACCCGAGAGGCCACGCTCTGCCCGCCCGCCCACCCACACCCCACGGGACGGAGCCCTGAGTGCCCAGAGCTTCGGGTAGCTCGTGACGTGTCTTCGCTCCTTAAGATAATTCTTAAATTATAAGATCCATTAACTCACAAGAGCATCTACTCGCAGGTGTAAAATTTTAAGGAATCACCTGACTTGCTTCTTACAACGCCCCTGAGCTCTGGATGTGAGAGAGGAAACTGTCCAGAGCGGGGCTGACACGTAACTCTGTGTCCCGCGTGACAAGCGGCCTTTCTGGGGCGTTGCTACGTTCCCGAGAGAAGCTCCAGCAGTTTTGTTATAAACTCATGAGCACAGGGCCCTCTTCTGGAAAAGCCACCGGGCTGACGGCCATCCCTGGGGACAGCCAGCAGCCTCCACCCGGGCTCCCAGGGGCAGGACCCGAGCAAGACACTCTGTGTAGCCATTGAGTCTAACCTCGCTCTCCTTGCGGATCTGCGGAGAGAGAAAACTCCGACCTGGCCACAGCAGGAAAAGCCCCACCGAGGGACCCCCCAGACCACACTGTGGGCCCTGCAGACCCCAGGCGTCCCGGGGGCAGGCGGCCCTCATCCTTGAAGGACAGGATGCTTGTTGTGCGCTCACGGAAAGACACCTTGCGACCGAGCGGGAGCTGGGCCCGGCGTCTGCACCACGCAGAGTGGGAGTGGGGCGGGGGTCGCCAGGGTCTCCCGTGGTATCTCGGGCTTTGTCTGGGGTCAGGAAACCTCCCAGAAACATGTCACTGATCTCGGGAGGCTCCAGGTGAGGCTGAGAAATGCGGCCAAGGGCCACAGTCTCTGGGGCAGAGGTAACAAGCCTCCCCTCGGCAGTGTGGGCTGTGGATGGGGTCTGGCCTGCAGGGGGTGTTTGCACGTGCATTTGGACTTCCTCCTCGTTAAAACCGGGCGATGGGCGGGTGGCTGCTGGTCTGTGGGAGGCTGTGAGCTCTTCCTGGCGCTTGTGGCCTCCCGTGCGGCACCTCCACGGATGAAGTGTCAGGTCGCGGGAGGTACCATCTGGGCCCCACGCGAGAACACGGTTTGGAACAGCCGGTCCCCTGGAGAGGACGCTGCCCACGGAGAGACTTGCAGGGTGGCCTCAGGCACGGGCCCTGCAGTGCAGTCCCTGCCCAGGGCCGCCCAGATGCTGCAGCACGTTCTCAGGGGCTCACTTTGGAGTCACCTGACTTCGGGAAGCACGGGCCTGAGCCCCAGATCTACCGGATCGGAGGCGCTGGGCTTCCGTGCTCAGCGGGCCACCAAGGGATGGACGCGGCCATCAGGCGCCAGGCTCGGTGCCCCTCTCTGCCGCTGAACTCGCACTCCCTGGACCAGCTCAGGTGGCGCGAGCCTCGGGGAGGAGGGACTGAAGTGTCCCCAGGCTGCGGTCAGCACGGCTGCCGGCTCCACGAGCCCACGTCCCCGTCGCTGTGTCTGCCCAGTGCGCGGCGGGCGCTACTCACCATGTCCTTGAAGGCCCCCAGGACGGCCGCGGTGACGACGCCCAGGAACAGGCCTAGGACGTTCAGCGCCGCCGAGGCCCAGAGCAGCCGATAGAGGTGGAGCACGTCCTGGCAGCCGCGAACACCCACGAACTCGTAGTAGGTGGGCGGGTGCTCGGTGCTGTGCGGGGAGGGGCTCAGCGTCACCCACGGCTGCAGGGGGGCCCCCTCGCCGCCTGAGCCCGCGGGGCAGACGCGGAGTACTGATGGGCCGGGGGCTCTGCTGGGAGGGCCCAGGCCCTCAGGTGGCGGAGGGAGGCCCTGGGGGCAGGGCTGTCCCAGGGAGCCCAGAATCCAGCTGGGAGGGGGCCCAGGTCTCTGAGCAGGACAGCCTGCCCCAAGCAGGGGCCCCGGCAGGCAGAGCCCCGGCCCGGTCACCCGCGGAGCCAGCAGGGCTTAGCGGCTGCTGGCCGCCCTGGCAGGGAGCACAGAGGGGTGAGCCTCGGAGGGGGTTCGTCTTGGCCCGTGGCCTGGGCCCCGTGGTCGTGGTCTGTGCAGGCTCTGGACCACAGCCTCGGGTTGGAAATGGGGTGAATTCCTGCTCTGGGGGAAGGGTGTTGCAGCCTACGCCCCTGGGGTTTTCAACAGTTCAGGGAGGGTCTCCAAGAAGCAACAGTAAACTCCCTGTTGGCTTTAATGTAGGTATTCAAGCTGTTAACACAAAATTTAAAAGACGGTGTGGGGAGGGTTCTGCTTCCCGCGGAGCTGGGACCTTGCACTGGTCCAGACGACAGGTGAGAAGCTGGACAGACTGAACAGAGCAGCGCTGCTGGGCCCCATGGGACAGGGGAGGACACAGGGCAAACCGCCGCCCCCGTCCCCAGACCGGAGAGACCAGCAGGCAGAGACAGGGTCCCGGCCTTCCGGGGAGGAAGAAATGGGTCACCTGTGCCGGTCACAGCCCACAGGACAGGGCTCCCCGGGAGGCCTCCCCTGCCCCCCACCTCCCGGCAGCCCTGAGCCTCGGTCCTCTCATCTGTGGAACGGAGCCCATGCCCCGGCCTCACAGGATGTGCGAGGTCTGAATGGGATGTGGGTGCAAGGACGGGGATGCAGAGCGGGCTGGGTAAGTCCGGGGACGTGGGGTTCGCGGCTGTCGGGCTCCCACCGCTCACCTGTGGCAGTCGTAGAGGTCGCAGCAGTAGCAGGTGTTACTCTTCACCTTCAGCTGGCATCTACCGTTCAGGGAGTGGCAGGTCACCTGTGAGCAGAGAGTCCGGTCAGGTGCCCCTGTCCTCAGGCCGCAGCGGGCAGGGGCCTCCCTGGGCGTTAAGGACCCACCCCTCTGCCCCATGAGCCAGGCAGCTGCCTCCCCTGAGCCCACGTTTCTTGACCTGCCCCTTCCTCCACCCAGTCCAGGTGCATCAGGGCTGGGGGGCCACAGGGACCCCCTGCAGGGAGAGGTAGAGGACCAGGCCAAAGCTTGCTGGACGAGGTGAGGGGCGGGGGGTCCCCAGGAGCCTGCAGGTGGGGACCCCTCTGGTGGGAGCCCCTTCCTGACCTCCCAGAGGACAGCTCCCGGTCGCCCAGTCTGACCAAGCCAGCCCTTCCCCAGGTCACACGGAGGCTTCCCCTCCTTCCCCCGGCGCTTTGTAACCACCCCCATGTGGAAGGTAAGTGGGGCAGAGACCACCCAGCTGCAGAGAGAGGACGGGGACCCTGGGGAGAAGGACTTGAAGGGAGGGCCGTGCATGAGTGAGGACAGACATTCGAGCAGGCTTGGGGTCGCCTGAGAGGCCAAGCGCCCGGGGCAGGTCAGGGGGCAGGTCGGGGGCAGGGCCTGACCCCAGAGGTCCTTGGCCCCGGCCCCTATAGCGGCACCTCAAGCCACCCTTGGGCATGTAGCCTTTCTTTCAGGGTTCTGTGGTTAACTCCCGAAAGCCACCCACATCAGGAGTGGGAGGGCTTGAGCAGGGGTCCTAGAAAGATTAATCTGGAAAAACAGTCCCGACGGGGCGGAGACCAGAGACAGGCTGCTGGGAGCCATGGAAGTGAGCCCGTGTGACTCAGCCTGCAAGGGGGCTGGGCGGACGGCCCGACAGGTGAGCACCGGGGCTCAGCGAGGGGAGCCGGGGAGCAGTCAGGGCACCGCCGGGCTCTGAGCCTGGCAGCCAGCACACGGGAAGGTCGGAGCCACAGGACAGCGAGCTGGAGGTCGCGAGGCCTAACCCTGATCCTGACCCGAGGTGCCCCCTGCTGGGAGGCGTCCCTCCCTCCTGCGAGGTGTCACCTCTGTGACCCCAGTACCGCTCGGAACACACTGCGGTGAGCAGGAAGGAAGGACAGAGCAGCACGAGGGCGTGGGGGGCCCGGTGACCCCCGCTGAAGAGGACGAGTCCCCAGGGCCCCCTCCAGCGGCACAGGCCAGGCCTTTGGAGAAGACGTGTGCCGCCCCGTTGAGGGGCAGTAGCAGAGGCCCCTTCTCCCCGCCGCCAGCCACGCGGCCTCAGCCACGGCGTCTGCTGCCCGCCCTGCGCGCCTCCTTCCTGACATTTGTGCACAGTGTCAGAGGCCATGTTTAGTTAAACCGATAAATCTACGCAGAGCTGAGTGAGACAGCAGGACAAGGGAGCCACGCAGCCACCTGGACGGCCCAAGAGGAGACGCCGGCCACGCTTAGAAACACCCGCCAGACATCCTCGGCCCAGGGACAGCCGGCGAGTTTGGGGCCAGTGCAGACGCAGCATCCTAGACTTTAGTGCACTAATTACGTCAATAAAAGGCTCATCGTGAACGCCGCACAGACGGGGCCGGTGGCCTCGGGGCTGCACCACAGGCAGTCGGCAGCTGTGATCCGGAGCGAAGCACCTCACCGGGCGCGGTGAGCACGACGTGAGGGCGTGCTGGGGACAGAAGGTCAGATCTGGGCCAGGTTAACGAGCGGGACCAGCGCTGCACTCACCTCCGTCTGGTAGACATCGTGCAGGTAGCCGACCCCACTGGAGTAGAACTGGCACCTTCCTGCGGTGAGGGGCCTGGGCTCCTAGAGACCAAGAACCACAGATGGAACGGGACAGCTTTACCCCCATGTCAGGAGGGACCGGAGGTGATTTCAGACCTGTGGCCGCAGGCTCTGAGCCCAAAGGAGAGGGGCCAAGGCCAACGGACCCCTCCCAGGAGGAGTACAAAGAGCAGGAAGTACCAGGGCTCATCCCAGAGCAGCTGGGCTCCTGCAGCCAGGAAGCAGGCACCCCAACCCTGCCGGCCAGGGGCACAGCTCCCCCCATCGGTCAACACAGGGCAGCTGAGGGAGGTGGTCGTGCTCCCGTACAAGTCTCAACAAGGAGACCCCCTGGCTCCTGCCTCTTTCCCTCAAAGCACAGCAATTTTTCCACGAGGGAGGGAGCAAGGTGGGTTTCAGCCTAATCCACTCATCCATCCAACCAACCAACCATCCACCCGATCACTTACTCATCTGTGTATCCATCCTTCTATCCATCCACCCATCCCTCCATCCATCCTTCCATCCTTCTATCCATCCACCCACGTCCATCCACCCATCCCTCCATCCATCCTTCCATCCTTCTATCCATCCACCCACGTCCATCTACCCATCCCTCCATCCATCCTTCCATCCTTCTATCCATCCACCCACGTCCATCCACCCGTCCCTCCATGCACCCATCCACTCACCAGCCACGGGAGCGTACGTTCACCTACGTGCCCATCCAACTATCTATCCGTGAGCCTGTCCCCGACATTCATAGGGCAGATGGTGCCAAACCATAAGGGCACCCGGGAGGGCCTCCTGGCTCTGGAGCTGGGAAGGGGGCGCCTGCAGGCTGTGAGTCCTCGCCTGCAGGGGTGCCACTCCAGGTGTCCTGTGCAGCCCTGAAACAAGGCAGGGCCGGTCTCGCTCCTACAGAGGGCCGGGGAGGCTCTTCCACTGGGAAGCCAGTGCGTTTGAAGGGAGGGCTCAGGGTGCTGAGGCCCGAGAAAGCCGCCCGCAAGGCCGAGACCCCACCTCTGCTGCCCCCAGGAAGGTGGGGCTCCCTGAGGCTGCCTCCCAGACGCGCGCCCTCATCCCCCTCTGCTCGGTTGGTTACAGGCAGAAAGGAGGGCCTGGTCCAGACAGAGGCTGAGCCCAGAGGCTGGGATCGACCAGAAGGGCAACACGCCGGCGGGCACAGGCTCACAGGGCCCTGAGGATCGGGGTCATCGTGGATGTTCATGAAGTCTTCCCGGGCCCCGTGGGTGCCAGCCTGCCGGACCCCAACACACCCGACACGTCCACAGTGGGCTGGATGCCAGCTCGCCTGCCCTGGGGGTGAGGACGACGTGGGGGTCGTCCTCCACACATTTTTCTACCCCAGCTGTTGGCGTCTTAAAGCTGTAATCTCGGGAAGTGCCGATAGCCAGTTACAAGCTGCAGAAAAGGGCTTTTTTTTTTTTTTTTTTTTGCGATACGCGGGCCTCTCACTGTTGTGGCCTCTCCCGTTGCGGAGCACAGGCTCCAGACGCGTAGGCTCAGTGGCCATGGCTCACGGGCCCAGCCGCTCCGCGGCATGTGGGATCTTCCCGGACCGGGGCACGAACCCGCGCCCCCTGCATCGGCAGGCGGACTCTCAACCACTGCGCCACCAGGGAAGCCCAGAAAAGGGCATTTTTAATTGATTCTCCATAGTTCAACCACAGCCATCTCCCTGCAGCTTCAGGCTATGTGTTTTCAACCTGGAAACTCAGCCCCTCTGTTCACATCCAAGTCCCTGACTGGCAGGCCAGCTTTGGCGGGACGGCCGATCCTGGCCACACTGGCCACATGCAGCTAGAGGAAGCTGAAAACCCATCTAAGGAAAAAGAAAGAAAAGCGCAGGGACGTGGGGACTGAGCTCCACACCCTACACCCCGGACAGGGGGTGCTCGTCACACCTGAGGCTCGAGGGAGGCTGCGGGAATCAACCGTACCTGCCTCTTTAGTTGTGAAACCTGACTGGGAGGGTGAAACTGCGCCTTCCTTGGCCCTTCGCCTCTCCTGGAGAGGAATCGGTAAGGATTCCCAGGGCCAGCACTTTGTGAGCCTTTTATTTGGAAATAATTTCAAACTGACCGAATAGTCCCAAGAAGAGCGACTGTAAAGCTTAGCCTAACGTTACCACCAGGGCCGGCACTTTTTATAACCTAAGAAACTTCACAAGCATAAAACCACTCAGAGTTCAGTGTTAATCGACGTGAACGAGCGCACGTAAAGCCCTGAGCTCGTGTCGCATTCCCACCTGACACAGGACCCGTTGGGGCCGCAGAGAAATGCCAGTGGGTCCTTCCCGGCCCGGATGGGGCGCCAGGTCAGGGTTGGTGGACAGAGCAGCAGCGCCCGGCCCTTCCTTCTGAGCAGGTCCCGGCCACCGCCCCACGGTTCCAAAGCACGAGTGTCTGACGTGGCGTGTCCTCCCCCGGCTTCCCCACCATTAGGATGACAGAGGCAGAGGGACCTCATGGGCACAGCGTCCAGTGAGGAGGTCCCAACACACGTATTTGAGCAAAAAGCCTGGGAAGTCGTGGGGCACTGGCTCCGGGACATCTTTCATCTTACTGATTAAAGAGGGGCCTGAGGAGTGTCGCTGGGAAGTTGAGGACTTTGGTTCTAATGATGTGATGACTGGGGTAGGGGGTGCGTGTTGGGTCAGTTTTGGAGGAAACGAGGGGAGGGACAGGAGGAAAGACTGCGATTGGCCAACACATCTGTATTCGTCAGACTGTGAAGGTCACCGAGCTGCGTCCTGCAAGAGGAAGTTGAACCTCTGAAGATTTCTTAAACCCACAGAGCAACTGAGAACAGAACGAGGGAGACTGGGAAGAACTCACGATGTGCCGCGCGGCGAACACGCCGTCCACGATGGCGCAGCAGAAGGCGGCCACCACGCCGAAGCTGACGAACACGATGGCCGCCACCAGCTGGAAGCAGAGACGGGAGAGGCTCAGTCTCATCAGACCTTCCCCGAGCGCCCGCCCACTCGAGGCCCCCGGCCCCGCCCCCGAAGTTGCTCCGCGGGGTCCTCACTTCCCACCATGGCCTCTCCAGAAACCCTCCGCGGCGGCCGGGGCGGCGCCCCAGGCCCGATCCCGCTGAGCAAGGCCCGTCCTGGTTGCCTCGTTTATTTCGCAGGGTCGGAGGCAGGAGCTCTTGGATGGGGAGTGTGGTCCCCCCACGGCCTTGTGGGTAACGGCGGGCCTCCAGGGTATTTAAACGGTTTGCAATCTCCTGCTTTTACAGACTCTGCTACAAAGACCCTAATCACATTCTACATAAAGTCTGGGCTCACACACGCGTGTTCCTGCAGGACCATCTCCTGGAACACACAGGGAGCCACGCTTGCCAACAGGACAAGGTAGGGGGTCTCTGCACGTCAGGATCTGAGGGGGCATGTGTTTCGCTCCCACGCCCCACGGCCAGACACCCACCCCCTGATGTCCCAAAGGACCCAGGGCTCGCTGCTCGTTTCTCGGTTCTGCCATCTGACGGCAGAAAAAGCCTCGCTGCCTCTCCACGTGCATTTCTCTGTTATTATCAAGGCTGAGAACCTGTTCTTACGTCTGTTGGCCATTTCTTTAAATCTTTTTCTCTCTCTCGGGGAACAATTTCAGGTTTACCAAAACAGACAGCAAAAGTGGTACCAAAATTCCTGTACGTCCTGCCACTGGCGACACCGAGTGTCCACCCTGCCAACCACGGCAGGACCCCCGTGGCAGCCACGAGCCACGGCGTCAGTGCATTCACTCCGTCCTAGAGGGCGTGTAAAGTAACCGGGATCTCCAGCCCAGACCTTGTGAACAACAAGCTGCGAGCTAGAGCACGATGCGTGCGTGCAGGTCGTCTGCCTCCAGCCTGGAGAACACGGGCAGAAGCTGCCTCCCGCCACCCGCGTTCCTCGGTTGCCTCTTTCCCCGTGGCCGAGTCAGGCTCTGGGGTTACTGACCTGCACGGCCCCACCCTCCCACCCTTGTCAGCCTGAGAGATTTGTTTCTTCAACAAAGCACAGGGATTGGCATGAAACGTGGGCTGGTTTGACAGACTGCAGCTTTGATTTCCGTTTTGACGTGAGGCTCCCGGTGGCTACTCAAGGGGCAGAATGGGCGGGAGGGCCACACAAGGCTGTCCCGAGGCGGAGGGTGGCCGGGCTCCCTCCTCGCAGCCCACAGGCCTGAGGCCCAGCCCCACATGTTGCTTCCAAGTGAAACCTGTCCCCTGACACCGCACATCAGAGCCGTTGCCCAGCCTTGCGGAGGTCTCTGCCCTGCTGACCCCTTTGGTCCTGTGTCCCCATCCGGAGAAGGAGCCATGCGGCTGACCTCTCCATGCGCCGGATCCACGCCCTGCAGGTGCTGTGTGGATGCAGGTGTGACAAGCCCGACTGCTGCCTTGGGCCCTTCCCCCCACGTGACACTTGTGACAGTAATGGAGAATTGAACAGAAGGGACCTTGGGGACCCCCTGCGGGAAGCCACGCAGAGAACCCTGCCTGCATCTGAACAATGGCAGCGACCTCGCCTTGGGGCTCTACGGAGCCCCGGTCAGACCCACGTTCCGCCCAGGTGCTCTAGGTCTACGAGGCAGGAGCTGCCCTGAGACACAAGGCGGGGTCTCATCCCAGCAGGGCCTCGACGCCGAGCAGGGAGGCCAGGGGCAGACCCTCCCTCATATGGGGGGAGGAAGACCGCGTGGTCCCTTCCCGTGAAGTTACTGCACACAGATGCAACGCGGCTGGCTAAAGAGTGGTGGGAAAAATCACTGCAGGAACCACACCGAACCGGAAAACACAAAAAAGACTCAAAAGGCACTTTTCCGCTGTCCCGGGAGCCAGGCAGGCCCGCGTCTCCAGCGAATGAAAGGCCTGAGTCTGCTCTGCCTGCCGCGTCCTCCCGCTTCCTCCCCGGACCTTCCAGCCGCCCCGGGCTCGCGCCCTTCGCACAGAGACGCTCAGTCCACGGTTCATGCTTCGTAGCGGCTGGAGCGCGAGGCCGCCCCGTCTCGTCTTAGCTTCGGCCGGAGAGCAGGGCAGCTCCTGTGACTGACCGCGAGGCCCCTGGATGCCGTAGCCCGACAGGAAGGACGCGGTTCCTGCTGGGCAGAGCTTCCGGCCAGAGGGGCCCAACACAGAGACGCGACCTGAACAACATCGCTTTGGAGCCCCAAGTCCTTCAGCACGGGGCACCCATCCCATCCTGACACCCCAGCCGCGTAGGGAGGGAAAGCACCGGTTCTGACCTGGAACTCCCACCCCAGCCTTACAGAGAGGCCACAGCTACAGTCAAGTTCAGACGCAGCCCCGGCCCCTCCCAGACCCCCAGGTAGTTGTGACCTCAGGAAGGGAGGACGACTTTCTGGCACAAAAGCAATGGGAGGGACAAACTGCTCCGCCAGCAAGTGTTCCCCAGCACCTGCTTTGTCCCAGACGCCGGGCTGGCACTGGGTCCAGCCGTGCACTCGGTCCGGGATACCTGCTCCTGCAGAGAGCCACGCAGCCTGCGGCCTGACACCCCTGGGACGGCACCGTTCCCCCTCCCCACCTCCCCCAGGGCCACTGCCAGTGTCCCTAAGGAGTGGAGCTGTCCCCAGCGACAGGTCTCCTAGGACCAGTGGGTCTGCGGCTAGCCTGGTCACCGGGACCTCATCAGAAGTGGGTGTCTGCCCAGCCCCGTGTGCTCCAGCACAGGTGCTGGTTCAGGAAGTCCACTAAGCACTACAGTCGCCTGAGACGCTCCCAGAAGTGGCCCCTGAGGCCCTGTTGCTTCTCTCACCACCAGCGGGTGAGCAAAGCCATCGTCGGACCCGCTGCCCTGGTGAGTCTTCCACGCACCAACTCAACGCCTCAGAGGACGCCCTGCTCCACGCTGGCCACTGGCCGGCTCCGCCCCAACTGCGGCTCGGTCACAGTCTCGGCCGAGAGACGCTCACATCACACCTCCACCAGCTTTCATCCAGGTCTCCACAGACAGCACACAACTTGCAAAGCGTCTCCTAGCACGCAGGGCTGCCCACAGCGGGGTGTGTAAACGTGCTCTGACCCTGTTTGCACATGTCCCCACGACTTGCACGTCCTCATCAACCTTCAGGGGACTCTGCTCGGCTGCCCCTCCTCCCACTGCCCTGGAGAACGTAAAAGCCAGAGCTAGCACCACCTCACACGTGGTAAACTCGGCTCCGGGGCGGCCGCACGCGTGCTCCTGCCCGGGAGCCACCAGGGTCCCGATGACGGCGCTGGGAAAGACGTTGGAAGTTCTCTCCTCCAGCGCTTCGGGCTGGAAATAGGAAACCGGCCAGGACGAGCAGCTGCCCCTTGGCCGAGGCCTGCGTGTCCTGGTTTCGGTCACAGCCACCACGTCCTTACCAGGCCTCGCTGCCCCTCGAGCAGCCTAGGGGTTTAAACAACGTTAGCACAAGGACCCGCTTGTGCCCCGAAGGCCCCTCTCTAACACGAGGGCTGCCGGGCCCGACAGATGTTGCAGACAGGGTCTGTCTGTGACTCTAGCAACTAAGGAAGGCACTAGATTAGGGTTGGGACTGTGTCTCCTTGTCCTGTCAGGGTCTCTTCTGGGAGAAGGGCAGCTGTTACTCAGTGGGGGAAGGTCATCTTCAAATCTCCGCTGGGCCCACAGAGTTTACTACATTCCAGCAGGGGAAAGTGATTTTCAAAAACAAACACCAAACAGATAAGGATGTGATACGAAGGAGGCTGCCTGGAGCCAGATAAACGGTAGAAAGTGGAGACGGGAGCAGTTAGCCCCGACCACAGGTCCAGGCAAGAGGCTACGCGGCTAAACCAGGACCGAGGGAAAGTGAGAGCTGTGAACACACACACCGAGGAGAAGGCGGTAACACCTTAGAGAACTAGAAGAGAAGAGCAAACTTAACCCAGAACCAGCAGAAGCAAGGCACTAGGAAAGGCTTAAGCAGAGATAAAAGAAACAGAGAACAGAAAAGCAGCAAAGGGAATCGAGGTGCAAGTTGGTTCTTTGAAACTATTAACAGAATTGACTCGCCTTGTTCAGTTCTCGGCCTTATCTGCCAGGAGCGTCCACCTTCCTGTCCCGGTCTGGGGATAGACCTTCCAGCCCTTCTCTGCCTTCACTGCCTCTCCCCTGTCCGCCCCAAGGGCCCCCCAGCTGCATGTACAGGCCGAAGGCCCATGCGTTCAGGGTCTCCCCCCCCCCCCCCCCCCCCCCCCCCCCCCCCCCCCGTGCCGCCGCCCCCGGAAGCATTCCCCGAAGAAAGAACTGGACGGGGGTGCAGGCCCTTTGGTGGAGCACGGGGTTGGAGGTGGGATAGTGTGTGAACCTGGCCACCACCCTCCTGCCCCATCACTAGTGGGCCCTCACAGGGAAAGCCCAGCCCCCCCGCACAGCCTCCACGTGGGTCACCGTGGACCTCGCAGGCTTCCTCCCCGATGGCCCTCGGATCCCCCAGCACCCCAACGTCTGCCTGCCCAGCCCTCGAGGCCTTGCTGTCTCAGCCCCGCCCAGCTCAGTCCTTGGGGGGCAGAGACCAGCTTGGCTTCTACACGGGAAGGTGAAGGGCCGAGGAGACTCCTGTGATGTCAAGACCCGGAGCAGGGGTGCCAGGACCCTCTAGCACAACACTCAAAGGAGCAGAAGCCCAGCAGACGGAGGCCGGTACCCTAATCCTCTGTAGGAAACGCGCTTCTACCGCTAAGTGACGTCCCATCGGTCCTTCTAGTTCAGGGGGTTTTAAACTATGTTCCAGGAAGATTCCAGTGTATGCGTCTGTGTGTGTATCTGTGTGTGTGTCTGTGTGTGTATATGTGTGTCTGTGTGTGTCTCTGTGTGTCCGTGTGTGTCTCTTGTGTGCGTGCGTGCGTGTCTGTGTGTGTGCGCATGCACGTACATATGGCTGGGGGTGGGCGGAGGCGGCAGTTAACAAGGTGCTTTAAGCCCTTAACTTCTCCATCCCCGGCCGTGGGGACCAAGCTAGATGGCAGAGCTGTGGGTGAAATCAGGGCCTCTGATGTCTGGGCAAGGAGAAAGCAAGAACTCATTCGTCAATGGGAAAATATCAAAAGCTGACTCCGCTGAGGGCATTCTTTGGACATCACTGGAGACTAATGCCATGACGGGCAGAGATCGTGGAGGAGCCATTTGTAATGATTAGATTCCACCCCTTAGCTTGAGCGGAGTAAAATGTTTACAGACAAAATGATACCACGTCTGGGACTTGCTTCAAAACACCGCTCAAGGTCGGTCACGAGTCGACAATGGATGAAGCTGGGAGATGGATACAGAGGGTTTGCTATACTATTCTGTCCACTTCTGCATATCTTTACATTTTTCTATTGCAAAAAATTAAAATGAAGAGAAAGCAAGGGAAAAGAGAGCGTTCTTACAAATCTAGATACATTTGAAACAAGCACTGTCTCCAGCTGACGTTTTCTCAGCTTCCTATTGTTTCCTTTGCTACAACTTGAATGTTCTGACTGACCTCCATGCTTCAGTACAATAAGCAACAATGGCTACTAGTCTCCGAACACCCGTTACGGACCAGCGCGGCACTGCATGTTCTCGCGTGCGTTGACTCAGATGCTCAACAATCCTGAATGTGAAGAAACTGAGGCTCACGATAGTCAAGACGGCAGACAGACTAATGGTCGACACAGGTTTCGGCTCTCACGAATATTAACTTAAATGTTAGACAGTGAAACCCGTGTTTATCGTACGAGGTGATTCTGGGGGACGCGTTCCTGAAAGGGCTGAAATGAGATTCTACAGCAACACACGCAACCTCAGGCAGAAAGCTCTGGTCTACGGAACCTGGTGGCCCCGTCTCGCCTGGGGTTCAGGGTGGCTTCCAGGGAGGCTGGACCCTGTCTGGGGGCTAGGGTCAGTTCTGGATTTTTATCCTCCCACTCCAAGGCCCACATTTCTTTTGCCAAAGCCAAAGAAATAGAAGTCCAGCAACTATTTTGGAAAGGAAGAAGTTACACTATCTCTATTTGTAGGTGACATGACCTCATAGACGGACAATCCTCAGGAATCCACTAAAAAACTATTAGAACTAATGAGTGAGACCAACAGGGTTGCAGGATGTAAGAGCAACATGCAAAAATCAATTTTTTTTTTTTTTTTTTTTTTTTTTTTTTTGCGGTACGCGGGCCTCCCACTGCTGTGGCCTCTCCCGTTGCGGAGCACAGGCTCCGGACGCACAGGCTCAGCGGCCATGGTTCACGGGCTCAGCCACTCTGCGGCATGTGGGATCTTCCTGGACCGGGGCACGAACCCGTGTCCCCTGCATCGGCAGGCGGACTCTCAACCACTGCGCCACCAGGGAAGCCCCTCAATTGTATTTTCATACATTTGCAATGAACAATCCAAAAATGAAGTTAAGAAAACAATTCCATTCACAATAGCCTCCAAAAGGATAAAACACTTAGGAATAAATTTAACAAAAGAAGCGCAAAACTTCAACTCTTAAAACGACAAAACATTGTTGAAAGAAGATCTAAAGAGATGGAAAACATCCCCAAGTTCATGGGGCGACACTCCCTCAACTGATCTACAGATTCGACACGATTTCTATCAGAAGCTCACAGAACAGACTTGAGAATCTAAAACGAAACACACACATCTATGGCCAAGTGATTATCAATTAGGGTCTCAAGACCATCCAACGGAAAAAGGACAGTCTCTTCACCGAATGGTGCCAGGACCACTGAGGAGCCATATGCCAGAGCTTGAATGTGGACCCCTATCTCACACCGTATACAAAATCAACTCAAAATGGACCAGAGACTTCAATGTAAGTGATAAAACTCTTTGAAAACATAAGGGCAATCTTCATGACCTTGGAGTTGGCAGGAGATTCTTAGAAATGGCACCAAAATCACGAGCAACAAAAGAAAACCTAGATAAATCGGGCTTCATTAAAATGGAACACTTTTGTGCCTCAAAGGACACCACCAAGAAGGTGAAAAGACAACCCACAGGATGGGCTAAAGTCCTTGCAAATCACGTATCAGATAAGGGACCTGTGTCTAGAATATATAAAGGGCTCTGACGACTCAACAATAAAAAGACAAGTAACCCAATTTTAAAATGGGCAAAGGACTAGAATAGACATTTCTCAACGACAACCGGAAACAGATACACAAAAAGCCAGTCAGCACATGTAAAGAGGCTCGACATCATTAGTCATCGAGGAAACACAGATCCACGAGGAGACCCCACTTCACACCCAACAGAAGGGCCAGACGAGAAGCAGACGACAGCACACGCTTTCCTCTACGGTAAGTCTACGCAAAACATTGTGAGGAGCTGCCACGCTGTTTTTCACAGTGGCTGCGTCACTTCACGCTCCCGCCAGCTGTGTGCAAGTCTCCACCTTCTCCACACCCTCACACACCCGTGAAAGCCCAGGGCAGCCACTGGGATCCTGGTGATACCTCAGGATGATGGCCGGTGCAGGTGGAGGCGGAAACGCCCGCACAGTCTGTTACGATGATTTGGAGATGAGACAGAAACAGCGTATGGTCCAACCGCATCCTCCCTGAACCCTCTCAAAAGTCAGCACTGGCCGCACAATGATTTGGCAAAGTTAACTATTTTGAATTCACTAGGGATTCACTATTCTTATAGCTCTTCCCCAAAGCACTGCATCAACACGACAGACTCCAAACTGAAATGATCAATAAAAGTCAGGTTTGTAACCTGACCGATCACGTCCGGTTGGCCCTCATACGTCCCACAGCCAAACAGTTGTAGACACGCCCTCTGCAAAGACCTCCGAACCACGGTTCTCCTGGTTTTCCACTGACCCCTTCTCCCTCCTCAGTCTGGGAGAGCCGTCGTCACACCCCAGCCGTAGGAGGAGATGCCAGGCTCCCTGACTCAAGGACAGACGTTCATACACGCGTGTTTTTGCCTGAACCTTATACACCATGATTTAAACTAATTGCCAACATTCCAGCCCACCCCTTCCCGTGGCCCAACCTTAGCTGCTAAGACACCACATGAGGTTGTAGAATGGTTGTAGGAGCATCGCCCCTACAATCCCAGGGGCGATGCTCACTTAGCCTAAGATGTGAACGGCACCCACTCAACCCTGAGTCCTGGGGTGTACAGTCCACAGCCTGGGAAGCTGGGCACTGACCCTAGGGGTGCTGGATTGGGGCAGGGGCCTTCCCAGGAACACCGCAGCTAGAGGGGCAGCACTCCCCCCCACCCCGGGTACAGCCCCACGAACCACATTTGAAAGAAACAATGCACATTCTTACCATTTGCTTTCTATTCTCCACCAGGTTGATGCCAATAATTCCTAAGAAGGATCCGAAGCCCAGCTGACACCAAAGGAAAACAAGGGAGAAAGCGCTCGGGTTACATGCCTGGCAGCCTAATGCCCACAGGGAACAGTGCCCACCTGCCTCAGGACATCCTATCGGAAAGCGAGGCCAGCCAGCCCCCCTCACACAGCCCGAAGCATTAAGCGGCAGGTAGGTTCGTGCCCATTGGGGTGGGCTTCTCAGGAGCCGTCGAAGCCAGTGACCGGGATAGAAGCTGCTGAAACAGGCCTGTCTCATCTCCCGTGTTCAAATGTGTTAACTCCTACGTCAGTTTAACTCTCGAGTCCGGGAAATGAGTGTCACGTGCCCCCCACCCAGACAGGAGAACTTCCTCATGGTGACCCATCCTTCACGCCTGGTGGTCAGGGAGAGGCCCGTCTGAGAGCTTCTCCTGGGCCGTCGTGGGAGGACGGCTGACCCCTCAGGGAGTATCATAGGAAGCTGGAACCAAGGGTGTTTCTGACACGCACACGGCTGACACCCCTTAGAAATGAGCTTTTGACTCAGGTGAGCAGGCAAACAGGTAATCTTGGGGCGGGAAGGGCACCCAGGGGCTCCTGGGAACCAGTCCGCTTGTTCCTCGGCCTCAGCTCTCGGCCTGGGTGCAGGTGACCCTGGGACATTGGAGAAGCACCACGACTGTGCTCATCTCGCATCGCCCGAGTGTGCCCAGGGGTGCCGGTGGCCTCATCCCCCAACACCCGCCTGGGAAGAATTCCAAAGCTTTCCCTCAGCCTGAAGAGCAGAGCTCCAGCAACGCCAGGGGAGGCAGCGCTCAAAGCAGCCAGTGACAAGCCCCTCCCAGAGGCACAGGGCCGCCCCGAGACCCCGCACTGGAGCCCACCCAGTGGGTGACCCTCAGCTCTGCCCGGCCCGTCGGATTCTGAGTGACCGTGCGAGGCAGAGGCAGCAGCCTGGGGACAGCCGCGCGACTGACCCACACAGCTATGGCATCTCTACCCATGGTGCCAGATTGAATGCACTAAAAATGAGACCTATTTATGTCCAAGGATGTCTTTGCCTGCAAGTATTATATCTATGGAGACGGACGTGAATGCACAGATGTAGTTTTCACCAATAATTTAAGAATTCTCAAGGAGTGAGGAAAGATGAGCATTTTCTTCAAAATATCACAATTCCATTCCAACATAAATGTATTAAAATATATCTATTAATTCTCGCTAAGTTGCATTTTTTTGGATTTGAAAAAATTCCTCTTTCCAAAATGTTGAGGTGTTTGCACCTTCTCACCCAGTTTCTTCCTGAGACCCGCCCTTGCTAGAAGTCTCAAGGTCGGATGCCGTGCGTCCACAGAAGTGACTTTTATCCACATTTTCTTTGAGCAAACCTCATCTGTTGTGTCCACTGTTTGCTTTCAGAACCGCTGAGCTGAAGCCAGCTGCACTCTGGTTCTCGCCCAGGAGTCAGGTTCTCTGCAGAGCCAGGCTCTGAACACACCCAGGATGTTCTGAAGGTGACCTCCAGGTGAGATCCTGAACCAGTGACGCGTAGAGAACACTGCAAAATCCTACTCAAGATTGACCTTGTCTGCCGGTCACCTGGGGGACGCGTCTTCACAGCCGCCAGCCTCCACACCCCTGGCTCCCCTCCGTCCAGGACACGGGCCCGGGAAGCAGAGTCTCATGGGAGTTCACTGAGAATACTACCTGCACAGACACTATTTATGTAGGTTTACTCAGAAAGTGTACACAGGAAGATAATGCAGATTTATAAAGCACAGATAAAATCTAAAAATAAAGAAAAATACAAAGAGAAAATGAATGATATTTGTAAAGTATTTTCATCCTTGTTAAAATGTTATCAACATCGTGACTAATCTGCATAATACCTCTAGTGAGAGTAATGAGATTGAATAAGCTTCGTTTTTAAAATCCTGGTTTAGCACTTGTGACACAGCCCCTCAGGGCTCTGGTGCGTTTGCAGGGCATCATGTCTGATAAAAAGCAATTTCACAGACGCTCCCTGAGTGCGATGCAGACGCTTGGAGCAAATTTTACTGCCAACAGATGGACACAGTCCCACAGTTCAGAAGTCTGGAGGATTCTGGATTTGGGGGCCGCTGTTGCCAGGTCTGGCTGGGCTGTGGGTTTACCTAGTGGGGTTATTGCCCAGAAGCGGAGGTGAGGACCACGTCAGCTCGTTTTCCTGCTGATCCCATGCGGTCCCACGAACGCACCTTCTATCCAGGTTCCGTGGCGTCTTTTAAAGCTCTGAGTCCAGTTTCCGAGGGGTGGTTTGCTCAGCTTGGTCTCATGGGGCTGAAGTCCAGGCGTCACAGGGCTGGTTCTTCCCGGGCACTCTGGGGAGACTCTGGGCCAGGGCCTGTCGCACCTCTTGCCTCCGACCCCTCTCCTTCCCCTCCCCCACCTCTCAGGACCCTGTGCCCCACGGGGCCACCTGAGCATGCAGGATAATTGCCCTAAACCTCCACCTCGGGGGGCTGGGGTGGAGCGTGTCTGCAGCACACGGACATCTGTGTCCCCACCGCCCCCAGGCCCCCCGACCGGCAGACCCCAGGGACCGCGCCACTCACAATGATCCCGGGGTAGTAGCCGCCCATGGTCACGTTCTCCGTCCTGGTGGTGGCAGCGAGGCCGACGGTCAGGATGGAGGTGGACACCACCAGCAGAGACCCCACAAACCACAGGGAAGTCTTCTTTCTTCTCGCAAACCCTTCTGGGGGAACACAAACAAGGAGCCAGCTGGTAAGGGGCTGAGCTTGGGGCGGGGGGCCAGGACCTCGAGCGCATCCCGGGTCAGCCTGGCTCTCTGCTGCAGCCCTGCTGCTCGCTGGCAGGAGCCTGGGACGCGCTCCCCAGGGACCACCACCGCCTGCTTCTTCCCCGCCCATCCCCGTGCTCAGAGCGGGACCCCTCGCCACCCCTCCGCCCGCCCTGAGGACTCACCGTCGTCTCCTACAGGGCACCCAGACCCCGCCGGTACCCCTGCACGGCCGCCCTCCCCTGTGGCCCCCACCGCACCCAGGGGTATCCAGGCACTGTCACCACCCACACGTCCGGACGATGAGCCCCATGAGGGTGGGCAGGGGCCCTGCCTCGTCCCCCGCTGCGTCCCTGCCACCTGAGACAGTGCCCGCGCACAGCAGCTTCTCAGTAAACGTCAGGGGGCGCTGGGCCCTCCCCGGGTTCCAAGTCCCCTGCGGCCTCCGTCCCGGCTTCACCCCACACGGCAGCAGTCACGCCGGCCGCTTATGGCGCATCTGCTCCGTGCCTGGTCTCACTGAGCACTTTACCTGCATCAACAAGCACCCCTGGGCCTTGCCAAGTCCATGACCCTGGACCCTGCCCTACTCCAAGACTGCACAGAGGACCTCTGCACACTGCCCTGGACCAGGCCGAGCAGGTCCCACACAGAGAGGGGGCGTGCGTCCCTCTGGGATGGCCAGCATGTCCACGCTGCTCCATGGGTGCACTTGTGCCCCCATGTCCACACTGAGCCGTTCCCTGGAGGGCAGGCATCCTGTGTTCTTCCACTCCTATACCTGGCTCAGCACCAAACACGTGAGTGATCAAATGGGAAGGGGTGGAAAGAAAGTATAAAAGTGTGCAGAGCCTGCCGCTGCCCACCTGCACGTCCATTACCCTCTCCCCTTGTCAACAGGCCCCAATTATTGGATGTGGAAACACGCCAGCTGAAAGATGGCATTTTCCAGCCTCTGCTCCAGCTGGGTGATTAAGTTCTCAGCAAAAAATCTCCACCTCAACAAGGAATGTTGGGTGGGACCTACAGGAAATCTCTTAAAGGAGCCAGTCCCTTTGCCTTTCTCCCCTTCATCCTTCCCGCGGCCTGGAATAAAGGTGGAGCCCCTGCAGCCATTTTGCACCATGAGGGAACCTTGACAATAGAAGTCACACACAAAGAGAGGCAGAGCAGAAAGACAGCCCTGGGTTGTCCACCTCCAAACTTTGATTAGGTAACAGAATTAAATCTCTGGACCATAAACCACTATTGTGGATGTCCTGGTATCTGTAGCCAAAGCTAATTTTAACTGTCACAGAATCCAAGAAAGGAAACCTTGCATCACTGGCACCTTCCTCCCTCAGGCCTTGACTCCTGGATTTCGTGTGAACTGTTCTTCCTCTCGTGTGTCTCAGGGAAGGCAGGGAAGCCTCACTTACAATAACCGTAATTGTAATCATTATTACAGCAATTCGATCTCAGATACGCCCGTTCCTACGTAGTCAACAGCAACCGCACAACGGAGGCAGAGACACAGGCCAGGCAGAGGGCAGGACGAGACTCCACACTGAACACAGCCATGCTGGTGTGTCTCGTTTGTTGGAAGGTTAACCATCTTCATCCCTGTGACTCCAAAACAAAACAGGATGAAAGAAAAACATGGTGCTTCTTCCCACACCAAAGTGTTTTAAATTGACGTGTGTGTGTGTGTGTGTGTGTGTGTGTGTTTGGTGGGGAAGCGGCTGCTCATCTGACCTCAACCACTGTCTGAGATGACCCCAGGCCCCGGCCCAGACTGTGCCTTTGAAGATTTGCACGCCCGTCTGCAGTCTCGTCAGCAAAGTTTAACGGCAGGTCAAGGTCACGCCACCCAAGAAAGGGATTGTCACGCACTCAGAAATAGATTCCACACAACTCTGGGTCAACGTGCTCACTCAGAATCACTTGGCCAGCCCGGGAACGCCGCTTCTACCCGCTGGCCTGGTGAGGGCGAAGGTCTCAGGAAGGTCGCTTCATTTCCTGCGAGGCCCTCACCTCCCTTCACCTGCTCTTTCACTGCTGTTTTCTCGTACTTTTTACTGCAAATATGTAAGAACTGTTGAGGGTGAACCATCTATAGGAGAGTCTACAGAAGCACAGCCACAAGTGCTGGGAGACGGTTTACACCTTTGGGACCCAGCGGCCCTGGGGCCCCCTCGGTGGGCTTTTCTCTGTTCACTATTATTCACGGCATCTTACTTGCAAAGTCGTGTGCATGCAGACAGCAGTCACTTATTTTTCCTCGCATGTATCTAGAGCCTGAAACCGAGGATATAAGTACAGGTTGGTTTGCCCCAGGGTCAGAAAGATCAGTGGTTACAGCCGATCTGGGGTGTCTGTAGGGAAATGGGACAGAAATGGCAAAGCCACTTGGAAAATGAGTGCGTGAGAGGAAAAAAGAAGGCTCCCCTCGGGCGACATTCTGCTCTGGGTGATTACCTTTAGAAAGGCAGGTACATTGGGAAAAAATGGACACAAAGGTTGAAAACCACCTTCTTCTATGTTTTGGAAGTTAGTGAAGCTGCTACCATGGAAGTTGGTGAGACACTCACGCCAGGGCCGCCCAGCAGTCGTGGGGGGTGGCATCGCAGCCTCCGCTCGCCCACCCGCCCCTAGCCGTCACCCCTCCCGTGCACTACCCGCCCCGCCAGCCCCCGAGCCCCTGCGGATGGACCCAGGGCAGCACCGCCTCCTCATCAGATCTCCTCAACTGTTCTTCCCGAGGTTCCATCCCCATCTCTGCTGTAAAATGTCTTTTAAGAGCAAGAAGCCTCTTGAAACTAAACTTTCTGGGACTAAGTATTTGAGAAAGTTATCGAATGCCCTCCTCCTCAGAGGACTTCTTGCTGTTTTCCCCTAATTGAATGCGTTACGTGTCTATTTCTCTCAGAATAACTAACTGAGGCCTCAGCACCGCTTCAAACCACAGTTCCGGCCCCTGGGCCTTGTCTCTTAGCTCCTGTGGGCCCATCTGGAAGACCCCCTGTGGGGATATTCTGGTTCCGAAGGTTCTTGCCTCCGCTTTGACTTGTCCCTTTAGGGCGGTCGCGTGATGAGCGGGGACCCAAGGGGCCCCACCAGGCAAACAGCTTTG